TAGCATATATTCAACACCAAAAAACAAAAAACAGTGACAATTTGTTGTTGACAAAAGACAGCTGGACATATAAAGGGCCCCATTACCTTCAGTAGCTTAGGGACTCATCAAACCTAAATCCAGCCTGATTTCAGGTCGGGGTTAGATTGCTCTGTTCGTTCATTCAACCCTTTCTACCACAATTTCTCTTCCTATCTGTTTAAGAGGTTTAATCTCATGCTCAGTTCAGGAACACCTTTATGCCACATTGCGAGGAGATATATTTTGCCGTAAAATGTTAATGGTGTTTCCTTCTGTCACCTCCTCTCTTCTCCCAGCTGTCCATTAGACTTGTGTTTTGGCAGGGCTTAAATCCTTGCACAGTGTTTAAATGTTCCGAGTCCCTTAAGCAGATTTGGGCACCTTTTTAAGAAGCACATTGAAGGTCCATATATCATCACATCGACACTGCAGAGTGGGTTAATGGTTGAGGGTCTCTCAAGGGGTCTTGGGAGATGTAGTTCTGTAGGAGCGCAGAAATCTCACTCAACGTTGATGCCATATTTCTCTGAAGTAAATAGGGACGCCCTAAGGAAAAGTGGGACATTCCGGGATCCAATCAGAAACCAGGACGGCTTCTGTAAATCTGGGACTGCCCCTGGAAAATAGGGACACTTGGAGTAGGGTTGCCTTACATCAGGAATTTCCCAGACATAGTGGGAATTTGGCCACCGATAACAGTATCTGTTACTGTTACGGGTGGCGCTGTGGGTAAAAGCCTCAGTGCCTAGGGCTTGCCGATCGAAAGGTTGGCGGTTCGAATCCCCGCGGCGGGGTGCGCTCCCGTTGCTCGGTCCCAGCGCCTGCCAACCTAGCAGTTCGAAAGCACCTCCGGGTGCAAATAGATAAATAGGGACCGCTTACCAGCGGGAAGGTAAACGGCGTTCCGTGTGCGGCTCTGGCTCGCCAGATGCAGCTTTGTCACGCTGGCCACGTGACCCGGAAGTGTCTCTGGACAGCGCTGGCCCCTGGCCTCTTGAGTGAGATGGCCGCACAACCCCAGAGTCTGTCAAGACTGGCCCGTACGGGCAGGGGTACCTTTACCTTTACCTTTAACAGTATCTGGGAGGGAATCACTGGAATGTCCGGGGAAATCCGGACGTATGGCAACCAACATCGGAAAAGTACGTAGTTTTTGGTTCAAAATAGCTCAAAAACGTTTTTTTAAAAAAACTTTTGTTTCCGGATTTTCACTTTTTGAAATTTGCCAACCCTAACTTGGAGGTTCTGTGATAACATGCAAGCCCTGATTATTTCCTCTACAATATTGTTGTTCACCACATGGGAATCCAGTAGTACACAGACGACTGGGCTGCTTTCCCCTGAATCACAAAGATCACTGGGAAGAAGCACTGTGGCACTGTGAAAATCATACAGTTTTTTCAAGATTCTCCATAGCTGCTAGAAGTGATGACATAGCAGGGCTTTAAATGTATAGTGAGGAGGCAGCCATGCTCTGTATGCCTGTCTGGCTTTGTATGTTTGTGTTACCAGAATCTCAGCCCTGTTCAGATATCCTTGCCCATTGCTTGATGCACTACCAAGTGATGACTTGCGTGTTTGAAGGAGCCTTCAAAGGACAGATGACAGCTACACTTTCCAAGGGAGGTAGTCAGTAAGGGATGTGCAAGAATAGCCGGTCCCTGACAGATGGTCATTTTGGCGTCTTAAAAAATCTTTGTAGCTATTTTCCTACCCCTTTAGCCAGTGCCAGATTTATATACAAGCTAAACAAGCTATAGCTTAGGGCCCCACTCTCTTGGGGGCCCCAAAAAAATTTAGAGGGAAAAAAAAAGCTTGGATGTACATTTCCAAAATATAAGATAAAAAACAAATCAAATAAAACCTACATACAGCAACAGTGTTTTGTATTTTGTAGGCTCCTATGATGTAAGTCATGGGCCCTGCCTGCTAGCCTGCTCCCTAAAATATCACTGGTTTGCTCCTTTCTATATATAGAGTGCCTATATTCTGCATAAGAGACACGGGTGGCGCTGTGGGTTAAACCACAGAGCCTAGGACTTGCCGATCAGAAGGTCGGTGGTTCGAATCCCCACGACAGGGTAAGCTCCAGTTGTTCGGTCCCTGCTCCTGCCAACCTAGCAGTTTGAAAGCACGTCAAAGTGCAAGTAGATAAATAGGTACCACTCCGGCGGGAAGGTAAACGGCATTTCCGTGCGCTGCTCTGCTTCGCCAGAAGCAGCTTAGTCATGCTGGCCACATGATCCAGAAGCTGTATGCCGGCTCCCTCGGCCAATAAAGTGAGATGAGTGCCGCAACCCCGGAGTCTTCTGCGACTGTACCTAATGGTCAGGGGTCCCTTTACCTTTACATTCTGCATGGACTGGTTGCCTGGCAACATGTGCAAATGGCTTTAGATATTAGGTCCATTAATTACCATACAGCATATGTTCAACACAAAAAACAGCGACAATTTGTTGTTGACAAAAGACAGCTGGACATATAAAGGGCCCCATTACCTTCAGCAGCCTATGGCCTCATCAAACCTAAATCCGGCCCTGCCCTTAGCCCATACTAAACACATACCCTTCAACATTTCTCTGATGAAAATAGGGACATCCCATTCCATAATGATAATCTTGCTCTTTATACTGGCAGCTTCCAACATATATAAAAATATAATAAAACATTAACAAAAAAAACTCTTCCCTGTACAGGATTGCCTTCAGACAGCTTGGGAGTCAGATAACTCCATACCCTCCAACATTTCTCCAATGGAAAATACAGACATCCTACCATACCCTCCAACATTTCTCCAATTAAAATAGGGACATCCTTCAGAAAAGTGGGACATCAGAAACCAGGATGTCTTCTTGAAATCTGAAGCATCCCTGGAAAATAGGGACACTTGGAGGGTCTGTAAACGTTTGCATGGTGTAAATCCTGCCTTAGTGGAGGAGTGGGGGCCAAGTGCTAGGGTGTGGCTAAATCTGGCAGATGGGCAGGGCCGTCTGCCTGTCAATCACGTGACATCACAACCGGGGATCTGGATTCATAATGCTCTGCTGGGATCTGGGATCTGGGCTAGTGGTTGAGGCTCAACTCTGAGCCAGGACTTACCCTACAGATTTGTGAATTAATATCTCAGCCCCTAGGAGCTAGTACTAGAGGGTTCCTGAGTGTACACAGAGAGCCACATGCAGTCACCACAACCTGCCCACCCACCATAAAAAATCAGTTTTTTGTGTTACCTCTTCATTTAGGAATTAGGAACTGAACTGTGACTAATTGGAACAGTGGGCATTTTCAGATTTATTTTTGCACCTGCGGGTTGACATGTGAACACAGTGCTTTTGAGCATGTGCAGAGTGCTTTCTTCATCTAACTGCAGTGGTGTAGCAGTTTAGACTCCAGACTCCATGTTATTATTGAGGGTTAGATACAGAGATTCCAAAGGACCTTATAAAATTGTTTATGTATGCTACAACCGCAGCTAGAACAGTATTTGCCCATAGGTGGAAAGAAGACATTATTCCAACCAAGGAAGAGTGGCCGATCAAATTAATGGACTATGCCGAAATGGCAAAATTAACAGGTGTAATAAGAAAACCAAGAGGGGGAAAGAATTACTAAAGAGTGGGGGAAATTTGTGGAATATTTGAAAAGTTATGGCATCAGCAGGGTTAACCTAAAACCAGCAGTTTAATAAAAAAAAAGATTAAGAGAAAGAAAAGAATAACTTTAAAAGGGAGTTATGTGGAAAATGCAGTATAAAAAAAATTAAACTAAAGAAAAAACCACAAAAGGAGGGGAGGAAAGGCAAATTCATAGCTGTTCTGGATTATTTGTGAGTTATGTGTCTGGTATTTGTATGTTTGTAAACTTTTGAAAAACCAAAAAACCCACCAAAAACAAAAACAAACAAACAATGCTATTATGGGGTGGGGGGGGGCAGAGACTCTCTTTAGAAGTTAGTGGGGTATACCTTTGTTCACTTCAAAACTGGCTCTCTTGGTCATTCTGCTGACTGGGGGGACTCTGGATGTCTGCCCCCAAATCCTGCTTGACGGCATCATCAAGGTCTTTGAGGACATCAGGGGCTCTGAGGTAGATTAAGATTCCTGTACCACCCTCTTGGAAATCGATTCCAGCTCCTGTGCTGATGCATTCACCAGATTTCAAGCACCCAGATAAATAAATAAATAAATAAATAAAATTAAAAATGCACAAAACGGCTGATTTGAAAATTCAGTTTGTGTGAATAGCAGTGTTTTCAGCATCAAACACTAATGAGCAAAAATACCAACAACAACGGATGGACTAGCTACCACAAAGCGCCCGTTTCCAAATACGCCCTTCATCATTGTATACACATCTTGCAATCTTATGATTGTACAATCCTCACTGGGAAGGAGGAAAAAAAAACTTTCCTGGTGCCATTTCAAGCAAGGGTTGAAGAAGATGATACAAACACAGATTTCTTTTTTAAAAAATGTATTCTTTATTGAAAAATTTAAAAAGTACAAAATTACAAGTGCACAGAGTAAGATAAGGCCCGAAAAAGAAGAAGAAATAAGAAATAGTACCCATGCAGAAAACAAAGCAGAAAAAAGATGTTGTGTACATTAAAAAAAAGGGGGTGGAGGCTTGTTATGGTAGTTAACCAGACCTTAATCTAATACGGTATTTATGAACTCGAAAAATAAAAATGTATCTCCCTTTAATGATTGGATGGAGACTAAGGATAAGCTTGCTACAAATGAACAAGTTGTGCACAAACATAGACTTGCCATGGACAAATGTAACGATATTTGGAATTCGTTTTTATAAAGATGTAACCACAGATTTAACAGGATCCCACCACACACCCCATCCTGGTGGTTGCATGCATTTATCCAAATCCTGGATAAATCCTTGTCTGGTTATATGTTAACAGTCGCTGGAATTGGGTCCAGTTACTTACTTCCTTTTCCCTTTTCCCTTTCTATTTGCTTTCGAAGACCTTGAGAAATCGACCATCATTGAGAACGGCGAAATCCGTATCAACGGCAAAGGCAAGAAGATCCGCAAGCCACGCACGATCTACTCGAGTCTCCAGCTCCAGGCCCTCAACCAGCGCTTCCAGCAAACCCAGTACCTGGCGTTACCCGAGCGAGCAGAACTAGCAGCGCAGCTGGGCTTGACCCAAACCCAGGTGAGATGTTGCAAATGTCCTTTGGTTCACTTATCTGTAACATAACTTCCCCCACCCCCAGGTTTCTAGGAGTTTTAGGTGTGATCTACATGTAGGGTAAGGGACGTGGGTGGCGCTGTGGGATAAACCACAGAGCCTAGGACTTGCTGATCAGAAAGTCGGCGGTTCGAATCCCCACGACGGGGTGAGTTCCCGTTGCTCGGTCCCTGCTCCTGCCAACCTAGCAGTTCGAAAGCACGTCAAAGTGCAAGTAGATAAATAGGTACTCTGGATTGCGGTGCTCATCTGGCTTTATTGGCTGAGGGAGCTGGCGTACAGCTTCCGGGTCATGTGGCCAGCATGACTAAGCCACTTCTGGTGAACCAGAGCAGCGCACGGAAATGCCGTTTACCTTCCCGCCAGAGTGGTACCTATTTATCTACTTGCACTTTGACGTGCTAGTAGAAAATGCAATAATTTTTCTGATAATTGAAATTGGATTGAAATGTTATCGTCGTTTCCCATTCCCTCCATTTCTGAGCTTATGGCTGTGTGTGTCACTCCTTTCGTAGCCACAACTGCGCAGCCTACGGTCGAGAAAGAGTTGGCAGCAGGCTTGAGAGGTTTGCGGAAGTACAAGAAATGCATTTAGGGGAGGGTGCATTGCGTAGTGTGGGACCCAATAGCAGCCGAGCGCGCACTGAGCACGCTCAGTGGCTGTGGAATGCTGACTGACGGTTTCAGGGAGGTGGTGGAAAGCGAGGGAGCGAGGGAAGGGAAGGGAAGGGAAGGGAGAGGCTGGAATCCTGGGCAGCAACACTGTGCGCCAGTGGTGACATTTTATTGCGCAGGTGTGAGTGACTGTGGCAGGTGTCGAGCAGAGTGAGGTGTTCTCTGCCCGGAAGGTGTTGCGCTCTTCCTTAGGCAAGACACTAATGGAGAAAGCTCAGGAACAAACAGGAGGATTGTGGGAATGGGGTTGAGTGGAAATGAAGTACGAGGTTTCCCCCTGTGGCTGGAAATGCTACACCTGTTGAATTTCTGGCTGCGCCCCCAGTATTTAAGAAGCACGGGATCCCTGCCAGGATGACAACAACCATGTATATTCAACTGGTAAAGCTTATGAACTCCCCTTTTGGTGCGCCAAATCCAAAGGCACAGTCCGGTGATGTCTGTTTCCACGTGACTCGGGCTGGAGTCTCGCCCCCTGGGTTTTGGGGATTTTAGGGAATTGGCACCGTCAAAAGCTTGTTCCACTCACCCAGAAGCCCTTCCTCACAGGTGGTTGAGCAGCTTAAGGAGATCGCTCGAGACAGACAGATGTCAGGGGTGAGCCCAGAGCCAGAGGCATAAAAAAGATTTATTTTTATTTAGGCAGAGAAGGAGAGAGTCAAGTAAGAACCTGCCAAATCTGCATGCTGAGAACTTGTGGGGTGGGTGAGGGCAGGGAATTGTGTTGTAGGGCTGTGAAGCATTATAAAACGGGGTGCTTCCTCTGTACGATATCAGAATTAGCAGGTAAACCAAACATGAATAGAAAAAAAAGGCAGCAGTTTGTTTTGGTCTCTTTCTGAGGAGCTATGGGCTGGAGCACATGGAATATTCCAAACTGAATAGCTCCCCCAATTGGTTGCTTGGCAGATAAAGGTGCTATATGTGTATTTCACAGAATCATAAGAGCTGGAAGGGACTGTAAGGGTCATTTAGTCCAATCCCCTGCAATGCAGGAATCTTTTCGCCCCACATGGGGCTCAAACCCATGATTCTGAGGTTAAGAGGACTCGTATTATGTCATAAACAGCGCTTTAAAAACGTACAAAAGTTAACATGCTAAAACAGATTAAAATTAGAATAGATTAGCCCATGGAATTTTTGGCTTTCGGGCAGGGGAGGAGTTGGTATTCTGCAACAAATTCTGGTTCCGCAGTGGAATGGAAGAGTAACAGCAAAAGTCAGGACTCTTGCCTCAGTGTGAGGCACTTGTGGAAACAAGGATCTTGGATAGTTCTGCTCCTCTGGGTGTGCAAAAAAGTTCCTCTATACTTTGGACACCACAAGCACCCTCAGCTTGCACACTTAGACACTGTGTAGCGTGAAGTTCAGCCAAATAAGTAACCTAGGATATTGTCTGTATCGGCTTGTATCTGAGTAGGCTTCAAAAACACATTTTGTTCTGTTCAGTGTTTTATTTTTGTGTTGCATGTGCTGGTCGTAAAGTGTGGCTCCCATTATTATTATTATTATTATTATTATTATTATTATTATTATTATTTACCTGTTTTACACCACTTTTTAAAAGCGTTTTAAAATGATCAGTTGAGTTTTTGTTTTTAGCATTCTTCGTGAGCTTCTTTGGAAAGGGTTCTTCCCCCTCTCAAAATCGTCGGCGGTATAACTTATTATACAAATAAATTGTCTTCCCTCTGGCTCGCAACAAAATAGTGAGTCTCTATACTGCCTTCTCCTTAAACTTCAAACTCAGAACGCACATAGACGGTTTAGGTTTTAGGCCTTAGAACAAGTTCTGTGGGGGATTCAGTCAGCTGTGATGCATTTATGCTACAGTTTCATACACACCATGTATTTAAAGTATATGACTTTCTGTAAACTACGGTTTCCAATATTTTTCACAGCGATGGGGCAAATTTAGCCCCTCCCTCCCTTTAATAGAGAGAGAGAGAGAAAGAGAAGAGAAGAGAGAGAACTTAGAATGAATATAATGTTGTTTTTAAAAATTGAGCCTTGTCACCTAAATCCACTTGCTCATGGGAAGTCCATGGTGGACAATATATATATTTTCTTTTAAAAGAGAGCTCGAGGTGGTTTCAGGGAGTCTTCACTTCTTGTGGGGTGCACATTTATTTTCTCCCAACCTCCCTTCTGGACAAACAGGTTTGGCAGGTTTTGGAGACAAAGCAACAACCTGCAGGACCTTTTTCCGGGGATGAAAGTGGGATGAGTTCTTCACACCATGAGCAAGGATCCCTCTTCTGAGCCACCCTTTCTCGGGAGAAAATAATCTGTCCCAGGCTCTCTCTGTGTGTATGTTCAATAATAAAGGCTGATTGTGCAGCTGGAGCAAACAAAGCTTCCTTACACCAGCATTGTTTACCTTTGTTGGCAGAAGCTCTCCAGAGTCTCAAGCAAAAAGGGGGTTTTCACATCCACTGCTACCTGAGATTCTTTGATCTGGAGATCCCTGAGATCTAGGTTGCATCCATACCATATCTTATACCACATTGGCTTCTCCCAAAGAATCCTAAAGGTAAAGGGACCCCTGACCATTAGGTCCAGTCGTGGCCGACTCTGGGGTTGCGGCGCTCATCTCGCTTTATTGGCCAAGGGAGCCGGCGTACAGCTTCTGGGTCATGTGGCCAGCATGACTAAGCCACTTCTGGCGAACCAGAGCAGTGCATGGAAACGCCGTTTACCTTCCTGCCAGAGTGGTACCTATTTATCTACTTGCACTTTGACATGCTTTCGAACTGCTAGGTTGGCAGGAGCAGGGACCGAACAACGGGAGCTCACCCATCGCAGGGATTCGAACCGCCAACCTTCTGATCGGCAAGTCCTAGGCTCTGTGGTTTAAGCCACAGCGCCACCCGCGTCCCCAAGGAATCTTGGGAGGCCATAATTTGCAAAGGTTGCAGAGAGTAGTTAAGAGACTTGTCACAGACAGCGGCGTAGCTAGCCACTCAGGTGCCTGGGGTCTCCTGGGGTCTCAGGAGAGTCGCATGGCTCAGGCACGCTGCAGGCCCCGCGGTGTGACGCCCAGTGCCCCCCTCCTCACCTAGCTATGCCTCTGGATTATGGAGGAAAGGGCTGTTGAAGGATACTAGCCATAAAGGCTGTGCTCTGTCTGCAAAATTGGAAGCATAATGCTTCTGGTTACTGGAAATCGCTCGAGAGGAGAGTTTAGGAAGGAGTGTGTGGTGGGTGCGGGGGTTATTTTTTTCAAAAACACATATTTTCCCCCATTTTGTCACCCCCTCAGTGATGACACCCGGGGCGGCCCGCACCCACTGCACATCCCTTCCTATGCCACTGGCCACAGAGCTACAGTTCCAGAACTCTTAGCAAACTATAGTTCCCAGGATTCTTTGGGGGAAGCCATGACTGCTGAAGCGGTATAAGAGTACTTTATATGTAAGATGTGAGCGTGA